GAACTAGACGGATCAACACCAACGACAATAAGCTAGGAGCTAGGATATTAAAGTCACATCTCGCTAGTCTTCATTATTTAATATAGTCACTTTGGACTTAGTAATTTTATTGTGTTTTGTATTAATTAAATAAAAAGTATTCAAATTATAAAGAAAAGTCAAACTCTTGTTCATTTATTTTCAACACCATCAAACGGACGTAGTCTGATTGTTACAATATTATGCATTTACACAAAATAACTATGTAGATAAATATATGCTAAACAGTTTAAGATTTGTGTTATCAAAATAGTAATAATAATAATAAATCCCTAATACAATAAAATGTATTAAAAAAAAAAAGATTTTTTATCTAATTGTCTTGATTGCATTAATGTAATTACGTAATATTAATTATAATTTTTCTCTCCTTTTTTTTTTTATATTTTGTATTTTGTTTTTAAGAATATTATGGTATTCAACAATGTCTAAAACCCTGTGACAGTGTGCTTGACTTTTCTCAGTGAGGGCTTAGGTTCAGACTCGAGTCATACTAAATGTTTTTGCTGCAATGGTGAAAACTTACGCTGTAGCCACGTTTTGAACAAAACACTTAAGTACAGTATTTAAATGGATTATGTATTTATGTCATATTGTGTGGTGATCTGAGCCAACGCCACCACCGATAGCTTCGAAAAATTCTGCATCAGAGCTCGTGAATTTGGCCTGCCAGAGTAGGTGTAGACCAAACACATTATATTCAATACAATTTATCTTTTTATGGAAATTATGCTATAAAATAAATAACAAAATGTGAAATCTTTTTCCCATTATTGCTTAAATTGCGAAATGTTCAACAAACTATAAATTAATTTATTACTCAAACACTTAACTAAATAATAATGGTTGAGCAAATAACTCAATACATAAAAATAACAAAAAAACGAAATTAACCATATTATGCGTCTTACCAATGGCAATACAAAAAAACAGTGATTCATATTTCCGTCAGTGAATTGTATGATAAAATATGAACATTATCACTTTTTATCGAAAACACTGTATTTCTATATTTTAATTTTTTAGTTCTGGGTAATCGCTCTACTGTATAGTAAATGTCAAGCGTAACACTCGATTGAGTAAATCCCTATTCTCTGTAATAGATGAGTTAGATTTCAGTTCAATAATAAATCATTGTATACGAAGAAGGATTCTTAGAGGTCCCTTAGCCTACTTCATTACATTGAAATTTTATTTTATATTTATATTATTATAGTAATACGTGCGGACTACGGACTAAATTTTTACAAAAAATAAAAATTGTATTAATTAAATTATTGTTATTATAATAAACAATAATATTACTAACTGTAATTAACTTTTAAAGAGGTTCTAAGCGATTACATTGTTCATACATTTAGACCAATAAGCTGGCAAAAAAAAACATACTTCTAGTGGTCCAATTTTAATTTTTAAAAACAATTTGAACTCCTCGGTAGTGATGGGCATAAGTGACTAATTACTACCAATTTAGTCGGTAGTACCATATGACTAATTTAGTTACCTACTCGAACATTTTTATTATTCGACTTATTTTTATTATTCGACTAATTATTATTATTCGACTTATTTTTATTATTCGACTAATTATTATTATTCGATTTATTTTTATTATTTAACTTATTATCATTATTCAATTTGACTTTTTTTTATTATTCAACTGATTTTTATTGGACTGATTGTGCAAACTTTAGCATGAATTACTTTAATTCAACAATATAACAAAAATAATAATAATATAACAAAAAACATAAACATTACTAGGAAAAATAAATACAAATTTACAACTATTTGAAATGTTTGTTTAAAAATATTAACATATCTAAATGTTTTTGATGTGTTCTATTCCTTTTTTCTTTTTGCTGACATGATTTCACCTGCTTTTGAAAATATTCTCTCTGAAGGTACTGAGGTAGCAGGGATCACTAAATACTTCAATGCTAAGTTGAATAATTCGCCCAACAGTATTTTGTGTTTGATCCAAAAATCGATTGGCTTTGATTTTCTATTGGAGTGTGGTAAACTGAAATATTGTTTTGAAATGTTATCCGCAGTGCTTACTGATGTAACTTGAGTTCGATCTGTATTCAGTATTTCAGTTTATCATCCAAGAAACTCCATAAATCGATGGCTTCATTATTAGAGATGGTTTGAATTTCAGGAGTTTCAGAAATATTGGAATTTTCTTCTGTAGTATTAAAAAACATACATTTTAATAATTAATCAACATTTTTTATGTAAAAAAAATGTATTAATATTATTAATTCCTTATCATTCAAATTTTCACTGATAAGTAAAAATAGTTCATCTGTAATACTCTTTTCTACGTTTTCAGCATTAATTGTATGCTGAAATGCCAATTTTTTAAAACGAGGGTCAAGTAGAGTCGCTCTTGAAAACTCAGGTTCTGTATTTTGCTTTTCACTGAGTTTAAAACGACTGTTTAAATGTTGCAGCAATTTTTTCTTGAGTAGCTGACCTAAGTATGTTCTCATTTGTTTTGATACTAGAGACATGTGTAAACCTAATAATATTTGTTGAATTATTTATTAATTAATTTAATTTTTTTGAATTTCATCCTTACCTCTTACTAATGGAATAACCATTGCCAATGTCGGATAGTTCTCTCCTTATAACTCAGTAGTCATTACTTCAAATGGTTTTAAAATGGGGATAACATCTTCTATTACTTCCCATTCTTGCGCATTTAACATAACAGATCCATCCTTTAAGGAGAGCATAGCATAGGTCAATGGTTTTTTTAATTCGACAAGTCTTTCTAGCATCAATAGGCTACTGTTCCATCTTCTTGACACGTCATGTTTAAGTTTTAATTTAAAAGCTCCTAACTGTGTTATTTTTTTGGCTAATTTCCTATTTGCAACTTCACTTTTTTTTAAATATGTCACAATGGAACAACACTTCTTTAATTTAGATTAACATTTAGATTTTGACATTCTGAGTTCAATAACTACAAAAAATCAGAGTTATATGACGTTACAATGAAATTATGGGTGACAACGCAAAACGTACGATGGATTTGTGTTTTTATTAAATTTCAATAACCTTTTTGAAAGAAGAATTTATAATAATTTCTATGATTTGTATATAGCTGGTCGTGCAAATTATTAGTCGAATAATAGTCGGTAGTATCAAATAGTCGCTTCTGTCCATCACTACTCCTCAGTCTTTTTTCTATGTTTAGTAGGAAAATAATTTGAGTTTTTTTGCCTCTTGGCACTTTAAAGTGCATTGTAATTTTGAGAAATTAAGCAAAGTAATTTTGAACCGTAATACGAAAACTATAAAAAATTTCCAAAATCCATTTCCTACAAAACATAGAGTAAAGGCTAACAAATTCAAATCATTTTTAAAAATTGAAATTGAACTTTTAGAAGGATGTTAAATTTTGTCAGCTTATTAGCATAATTGATTGCCGAGTGTGTTAAAAAATATTTTTGAGCATGCATTTGATGACTTGTGCATGCGCATACGTGTACTATATAACATAGTCGTCCCGTACGCCTACAGCCCAACAACATGAAATATGTATATTTTTATCAAATTCCTTTAAAATTCTAATTTTATAGACCCAAACTCACACTAATAATCATTTACGACTAACACAAAGATTATGGACGGCTACGACAAGGTTAGAAATTGACTAAATCTTTCCCCTTAAATAATAGCCACTAAATAGCCGCCTTAAGTAAATACAGAATATTTTGAAAATTGAATTGTGTATAGTTTGCACTAATATATAAATAAATAAATATATCATGTAGAGGTACAACTTTCAATTATTAACAATAATATTTCATAAATTACATCAAAATAACTATAGGTTGTTATTTACGGTATAAATATCTTATTATGTCCAATTTTGAACTTCAATCGAATAATAACATTGTTTATTAAGTTGACAAAATATGTACTGTTATAACATTTTTTTTTTACACACAAAATTATGAAGTCGAAAATTGCATAAGCCTACAAACGACATAAAAAGAGCAAACATATTTTTAAAACTTCAATATGTTTAGAAGATGCTGATATAAATATTTCAAATATGCCACCATCCAATGTTGTATCTATGTGTAGCTCAATCCGCTACTACATCGATGAAGACCACGTCCAGATAATGTTGGAGAATGTCAGCTGTCCATTCAGTAGCTCTTTTGCCACCACACGACAGCCAAAATTGCAGAGTCTCGTCTTCAGTCAAGCCAGCCAACTCGGACAAGTCGACCTGTTTCTGCTCCTCTAACAAGACTCGTAATGTCATAGAAACTTCCGCAAGACCATAATATGCGTATTTGGTCATTTCAGTGTCCAGCTGACTGCGGTCCGGTACCGGAGCGCTACCGGCCACAGAAGCCAACGTCTCGCAATAGACGTCAAGGAGATCGTCCCAGTGATCATCCCGTGTCTGGCGATCCATGTTCAAGTACATGAAGTGCGACAAATCTAGTGCCGGTGACCCGTACCGGATGAGAGCCATATCATACAGGAGCGCGTCCGTCGGCCGGCCATCACCGTCATACCGGAACATTAAGTTATGGCGGCCGAAATCGCTGTGGCACAGGACGGACAGAGGTTCGTCCGGCTCCATCACATGCTTCATCGTCTCTACTGGGTCGGCCAATAGTTCTACCCGGAACCGGTGCAGCCTTTGTTTATATCCACCGCTGTCATCTTGTCGCTCCTCCAGCATATCCAACGCAGTTGAAAACAGTCCTTGGAGAACTTTACTACTGAGGTACCATTTGCCCTCCGCACTCCATTGCGTTTCCGCCACTTTGTTCACCAGTTCTATGAATTTGACTCGATCCCCATGTTTTGCTCTGTAAGACAAGCTGTGAAACCTGTAAAATTGGTCATGTTGATTTCAGTACGGCAAATAATTATAGTACCACCGTATAATATGTAGGGTTACACTTTAAACCTTAACCATATATTTCAAAACTTATCCATCCGTCTAATTCAATCCACAGAATTGCTATATCACAGTAAACTACTAAATTAAAATATTTAACTCATTACTGTATTACACTCTTACCCTCCTATAAGACAGAAGCGAATTATTCATTTTTAAATCTATGTTATAAAAAAAAACATTTATTTCGCGTGAGAAAAATGTTGAGGATGATGTATGGGTCATACACCGTTGATGTATAACACAAGATTATCAGTCTACTCCAGTGATTTCAAATACATATTATCTACATGCCATATATTTTTTCAAAAACAGTTAGCACACCAAATTTTAAGTGTTCTTTTTAAACTTATATAGGCAAAGATACATACGAAGTCCGTTCAGCTAAATGACTTAAAATATTATGAAATTACTTTTATTATAATTACTAACCAAAGTATTTATAAAAATATAAACAAAGCAGTTGTCTATTTCACTTATTTTACCCACAAAATTACCAATAAAAAAATACGATGAACACTAACTTCAAAATAAAAAATGCAACTAAAATTTAGTGTTTTCACAATTATTTCGAATATTAATGTTCAACATGTATTTCTATTACGAGCTACATGGAAAGGGTAAACGGGCCACATGTGATATTTAAAACCACTGGTCTACTCACTTTGCCAGTGTCCGTACAGCTATGGCCATATGATCATAATCCAAAGTCAACCGATGATCATTCACCGCTGATCTGTATCCACGGACTGTTTCGTTTCCCAAGACGATCAGATCCCGATCCGCTAGGTCACCGAAATCGTTGCGGCCGTAGAAGTAACGGCATAACGACGGTGTCGTGGAACAATCGTCATCCCTTGGTGAAACAAACGATAACAGAAATGGAGTGATTTGTTCGTAGAACAACTTCTCGTTATAGAACTGTTGGTCGTTCATGCAAAACTCCCGCTTTTCGGGATTTATGTGCTTGAACTTAAACACTAGCGGATGAATCTGATTGCGGCAGTCTCGGTCGCTGACCGTCATCGTCCCGTACAGCACTACCGAACAGAATTGATTCGGTTCGGTGTGCCACCTGTCAAGTTTGAAGGACACGAACACGCTGTCAGGTCCAAAAACTTTGGATTCAATCATTTTTTCAGCCACAGTTACAGCTGCCGCCGCATAGTGTTCTAAAACGTAAATTAGCTTGCTCGAATAATTTCTAGACTTACTTACTAATTTAAAATAGTTGTCAGTGAGGTTAGTATTAGTAATTACATTTGAATAAAATCTACTCATTTAAGGATGAATGACATAAGTACTTACGTAGTTTGGCAGTTTTTAAAAAGTATATTTATTATTTGATTATTTGAGTAAAATAAAGATGTGTTAAAATTGTATTAAATAATATAAATTTATGTAAGTCTATTCCCTATACATATTATACAGTATATACATATTATATAACATTTTATCAGTTATGATTTTTCGACGGTATTTGGTAGTAATTTTAAGGATGTTTGCCTTTGTATATTTTTTTATAATATACCATAGATGATCTGTATGGTATTACAACATTTAGGTATCAATTTAGTTATTTCTCAATAAGTACTTAATTATCATTAAATGTTTATTTTGTGTTCCCTTCTTTATTAATCATATACTCGTATATACATACCCAAACAAAACAAATAATATTTTATTTGCAACATAATTTTAAAATTTTAAACACAGAATGTTAGATTTTAATTTATATGTGTTTTTTTTTTTTAAACTTAAAAATAATATCCATCATCAGTAAATTTACTTACGTTTATGTTGATGCTCCATTCCATATACTTTCGTAAAAATACCTTAAAATAAAAATATGTAATGGATACAATAAATCAGTTCAGCAGTAGCTGACTCTCGATACTTGTGTAATTTCTATATAGTCCATATGTGATCAAATATTATACGTATACATCGACTTCCTCTTATTGTATTGTATTTTATCTAGGTAAAACCTACATGCATTAAGTGCGTAGGTACTTCAAGACATTATGTATTATCTATTACCAACAACTAAGTGTTATATCGCGGCTTACACATACGTAAGTAGAACTTTTATTATTGTATTCGAGAGTTTTGCAATTTTTTTAGTATGTCAGTAAAATTGTATGTACCTATTTGTTGTGTCGAAAAACGTAGCGAACATTTAATACAATGCACGTGTAGAAACATCATACAGTATGACATTTATCTATCATCGTTTTCCTTCAATTGCGTATTTTTTTAACAACAAACCCATTAGGTAGCTTCGATGATTTAAATTATCTGCGTCCTTCTTATTTAATTAATACTCCACTCGAAACCTAATTTTTTAATGAAATTTTGAATATGTAGTTATATTGTACAAAAGACGACTCTCGCCGTACAAATCTATACCAACCGAGAACAAAAGTAGTATGCCTTGAGTTTGTGTTAAAGTTTAGTTATGAACAATAACATTTAACATTAAAAAATATGAAAATGATCAAATATATTCATTTTTTACAGTGCAATCAAAATTGTTTGTCTTGTTTGTAATTGTTTTTTTTAATAATTAACTTATCGATAACAACTTATCTACAGCTAAGTACTTATACAAAAGTTCTGCCCAACGTTATTTGTCAATAATCTACTTTTTAAATTTTTTTAAAGAATATTCTATAAAAATATGTGGATATTTGTATCTATTACTTATCATTATTATTAGAATTAATGTTACAGAAACTTAAATTTAAAAACTTCTATAAATGAACGATGAAAATCTGTCAGAGTTAATTACAATGGTCCAACACTGTGTACACAAGGTATTTGTCTTAACTGTGTTCAAAAACATAAATTTATTTTAAGAACAAGATATTCCTACAGAATACGAACTATAGGTATAATATAAATGCAATCGATCTATAATATAAAATGTAACAAATCTTTTTTTTAAAATCCTTTTCAAGTTAAAATCAATTATTATGGACATAAACGCCTGTTGTGGTTTTTAAGGCAAAAATTATTTCAATCGATAATTCAATATCATATATTATGTTCACCAAAGATGTATACTATGTACAAGGTGAACTCGCGTATTCACGGTACTTAAATAAATATAAAATCGTTGAAAATTGGTAACGTCACAGCTCATCCGTTATAGATATTTCTATTTGCAGTATCGTATCCGCTCTGTGTGTTACCAACCACATGGCGATATCCGTTAAGCTAAACTAATAATAATTGGGGCTAATGGGTACTCATTTATATATTTATAAAGTAAAAATGAATATATTTAGATGGTCAATATCTCTTAACTTTTGGAGGTTGCACCAATCCTGCGTTAAGTCCTTTCGGTCCAAACGAACTGTGCTTTAAACAATGGAGAACCTAATGCGTTTCCTTGAAACCAGTCACCAGCTATAGCCATCATCGTACTAACAAACTTTTGTGCAAAGTTTGTACTAATATATAAATAGATAAATACATTATTTTGAGGAAAATATAAATCCCAATGCGTTGCTAAGAATAAACAAAAATGAAAACCTACTTAACCTATCACTTTTGAACTTATAATCTATAATACCATCGTATGTCTATTTAAATTTAATATTTCTGTATAATGTTTATGTAGGTATATATTATTATTCATAAATTATAAATCAGATTATCTAGTAACAAAAAACTGGTTAGCAAGTTATAACTGGAATTATATATCCTCCCCCAATTTCTCAAGAGTCAAGAATTTATAGATAAATACTAAAATTAAAAAAAAATTGTTTATGTTAAACGCTAAAATTGAATAACGTTTAAAATTTCAAATATTTCATAACGTTTAAAGTTTAAACTATTCATACCGTTAAGAAGAAAATTGTATAAACGTTTTATATTTGAATAACGTTCAAACACATACATTGAATAACGTTTAAAATTTTTAATTGCCCATAACGTTTAAATTCTTTATAACGTTAAACACTTAATTGCTCTAAACGTTTGAATTTCCTATAACGGTAAACGGTATTATTTTTTTTGATTTAAGCCCTGCTTTAAACAATGGGGAACCTAATGCGTTTCCTTGACACCATTCACCAGCTATAGCCATCAACATACTAAAAAACTTTTGTGTATAGTTTGTACTAATATATAAATAAATAAATATATCATGTAGAGGTACAACTTTAAATTTTTACCAATAATATTTCATAAATTACAACAAAATAACTATAGTTGGTATTTACCGTTTAAATATCTTATTTTGTCCAATTTTGAACTTCAATCGATTAGGAACCTTGTATATTAAGTAGACACATGTACGGTCATAAAATTTTTTTTTCACACACAAATTATAAAGTCGAAAATTGCATAAGCCTATAAACGCCATAAAAAGAGCAAACATATTTTTAAATCTTCAATATGTTTAGAACAATATGCTCTTATAAATATTTATTAAAAATGTCAAGCATCACAAAAAGTTATTTAAAATTACATTTAATAAAGCAAAATCACCACCGAAATATATATACAAATACTAAAATAATCAAACAATTTAATTTTGGCTTTATTTAGAGTTAAGCAAAATTTGTTTGTACAATGTCACTATTTTTTTTTTATATATATATAAAAGTAGTCCCATTATAAATAAACTATGATCTAAATCTATCTATATAACACTATGACAGCTCGGCTTAACTTTTTTTTTTCCTATAATAATAGAATAAAATATAAGCAACCTGGCAAAGTTTATGGCAAGTAAATTTCAAAATATGCCACCATCCGATGTTGTATCTATGTGTAGCTCAATTGGCTACTACATCGATGAAGACCATGTCCAGATAATGTTGGAGGGTGTCAGCTGTCCATTCAGTTGCTCTTTTGCCACCACACGACAGCCAAAATTGCAGCTTCTCATCATCAGTCAAGCCAGCCAACTCGGACAAGTCGACCTGTTTCTGCTCTTCTAACAAGATTCGTACTGCCATAGAAACTCGCGCAAGACCATAATATGCGGATTTGGTCATTTCAGTGTCCAGCTGACTGCGGTCCGGTACCGGAGCGCTACCGGCCACAGAAGCCAACGTCTCGCAATAGACGTCAAGGAGATCGTCCCAGTGATCATCCCGTGTCTGGCGATCCATGTTCAAGTACATGAAGTGCGACAAATCTAGTGCCGGTGACCCGTACCGGATGAGAGCCATATCATACAGGAGCGCGTCCGTCGGCCGGCCATCACCGTCATACCGGAACATTAAGTTATGGCGGCCGAAATCGCTGTGGCACAGGACGGACAGATGTTCGTCCGGCTCCATCACACGCTTCGTCGTCTCTATTAGGTCGGCCAATAGTTCTACCCGGAACCGATGCAGCCTCTGTACATATCCACCGCTGTCGCCATGTCGCTCCTCCAGCATATCCAACGCAGTTGAAAACAGTCCTTGGAGAACTTTGCTACTGAGGTACCATTTGCCTTCTGCACTAAATTGCGTTTCCGCCACTTTCTTCACCAGTTCAATGAATTTGACTCGATCCACATGTTTTGCTCTGTAAGACAAGCTGTGAAACCTGTAAAATTGGTCATGCTGATTTAAGTACAGCATATAATTATAGTACCACTGTATAATATGTAGGGTTACACATTAACGTATCCGGACATTTCGGCGTGTCCATTTCGGCGTGGACACTTCGGCGTGGCCATCTGGGCGTAGCTGGTTCGGCGTAGAGCCTTTTCGGCGTGGGTTTATTTCGGCGTAGTCCTTTTTTCATTTAATTATTTTTCGTCGGCTTAATCTACAAATGGCCGTTGACCACCCGACACTATGGGCATTTATATCATGTTTAAGGAGAATTCAAAGTGGCCGAGACACCTTCTTTTGCAAATTAGAAACAGGCAAAAGTCCACCAAAAAAGAAAAAAAAATACATTGACGTCGATAAACGTATTTTAAAATTAGTCAGCGATTATGATAATCGTAATATTATGAGTTTTTTAAGAGGAATAGCACATAATTTAAGTATGATGACCTGAATATTTTTATTTGTAATTTTAATAGCATTCTCCTTATTTTAATTCAATTTGTATTATTTATTTATTTTTTATTGTTTATTATTATTTATTTATTTATTGTATTTACTATTTATATTTTAAGTATGATGACCTGAATATTTTTATTTGTAATTTTAATAGCATTCTCCTTATTTTAATTAAATTTGTATTATTTATTTATTTTTTATTATTTATTATTATTTATTTATTTATTTATTATATTTATATTTTATAGTGACTTACCTAATTTCTTAAAATGGCTCTACGCCGAAAAGGCCCTACGCCGAAATGGCCACGCCGAAGTGGCGACGCCGAAATGTCCTAGACCGACACATTAAACATTAACCATATAATTCAAGACTTTTCCATCCGTCTAATTCAATCCATAGATCCACTTGCTATGTCACAGTAAACTACTAAATTAAAATATTTAACTCATTACTGTGGTACACTCTTACCCTCCTATAAGACAGAAGCGAATTATTCATTTTTAAATCTATGTCATAAAAATAAACATTTATTTCGCGTGAGAAAAATGTTGAGGATGATGTATGGGTCATATACCAATGATGTATAACACAAGATTATCAGTCTACTCCAGTGATCTCAAATACATATTATCTACATGCCATATATTTTTTCAAAAACAGTTAGCACAGCAAATTTCAAGTGTTCTTTTTAAACTTATAAAGGCAAAGATACATACGAAGTCCGTTCATCTAAATGACTTAAAATGTTATGAAATTACTTTTATTATAATTACTAACAAAAGTATTTTTGAAAATATAAACAAAGCAGTTATTTATTTCACTTATTTTAACCACAAAATTATCAATAGAAAAATACGATGAACATTAACTTAAAAAAAAAAAATGCAACTAAAATATAATGTTTTCCCAATTATTTCCTATATTATTGTTCAACTTGTGTTTCTATGGCGAGCTACATGGAATGGGTACGAGGGCCACATGTGATATTTAATACCCCTGGTTACTCACTTTGCCAGTGTCCGTACAGCTATGGCCATGTGATCATAATCCAAAGTCAACCGATGATCATTCACCGCTGATCTGTATCCACGGACTGTTTCGTTTCCCAAGACGATCAGGTCCCGATCCGCTAGGTCACCGCAATCGTTGCGCCCGTAGAAGTAACGGCATAACGACGGTGTCATTGAAACATCGTCATCCCTTGGCGAAACAAACGCTAGCAGAAATGGCGTGATTTGTTCGTAGAACAACTTCTCGTTATAGAACTGTTGGTCGTTCCTGCAAATCTTCCGCTTCTGGGGATTTATGTGCTTGAATTTCAACACTAGCGGATGAATCTGATTGCGGCAGTCTCGGTCGCTGACCGTCATCGTCCCGTACAGCACTACTGAACAAAATTGATTCGGTTCGGTGTGCCACTTGTCAAGTTTGAAGGACACGAACACGCTATCTGGTCCGCAAACTTTGGATTCAATCATTTTTTCAGCTACAGTTACTGCTGCCGCCGCATAGTGTTCTAAAACGTAAATTAGCTTGCTCAATTAATTTCTTGACTTTCTTACTAATTTAAAATAGTTGTCAGTGAATATATTATTAATTATATTTGAATAAAAGCTACACGTCATTTAAGGATGAATGACATAGGTACTTACGCAGTTTGCTGGTTTTTAAAAAGTATATGGATTATTTGATTATTTGAGTAAAATAAAGATGTGTTAAAATTGTATAAAATAGTATAAATTTATGAAAATCCATTCCCCATACATATTATACAGTATAGACGGTAGCGTGTCATGTGTTCGAAAATCATGTGTGCGCATGCCGTATATTCGAACGTTTAGTGTACGAAAGATTGTCTGTACGAAAGATTATATGTTCGAAAGATAGTAGGTATGTGTGAAATTGTCGATAAATGAAACTAAACAAAAATCACCCTAATAACATTAATCGCGGTTTCATTATATTGGATTTCACACAATATCTTTATTTATTTTACGTGGGGAAAGCATTATAGATATTATTAAAAGTAATTTTTTGTCATCTATCAGTACAGTTCGATACATCATTACAAAAGTATCGAACACAATTTCCTTTGAACGTTGTTTTTAAATAATATTTTATACAATTTGTGTTAGTGATTTTTTTTTTTAATGGCTAGTATACAGACATTTAAAAGTATACATGACAAGGAAATGTTACTTGTAAATAATTATGAATACATGTTTGATGAGAAAAGCCTGGGAATACGTGATCAAAATAATATATATTATTCGAAATGTACAAAACGATATGGAGCAACATTTCGGACAATATTTGAGCACGGTGAACATAAACAAGACAATTGTTTTATTAATAATGATCATTCTTACGCACCAGATACAGTTAAACATCATTGAAAAATTCTAAAAAATAAAATTAAAAAATGTGCTCAAAATTTACAAGATTCGCCAAATCAAATATATCAAAACGAAATCGCGAATTGCACCTCAAGTAACTAAAAACGCATCCAAGCAAATCGTAAAAAGACAAAGAAAAGGAAAAGAACTAGAACCAGTTTCATTAAATTTTATACCTTCCTTTGAACTTCAAAATACAATTTCAGGACAACCTTTCCTTTTGAAAAATGCAATCGAAGGAAATAATAAATTTATGATTTTTACAACTGTTCAAAATTGTATATACTTGAGGGAATCAAATTTTTGGCTCGCTGATGGAACCTTTAAAGCTTGTCCTGGAATTTTTAAACAGATATTTACAATACATGGATCAATTTCACGAGGTATTAATGGCAACATTTGTGTACCATTGGTATACGTACTGATGACCAACCAAACTGAAGATGACTATAAAACAGTGCTAAACGAGTTTAATAATTTTGCTATTAAAAATAATATTTATTTCGAAAGTAATAAGGAACTTGAAATAATAACGGACTTTGAAAAAGCTTCAATCAACTCGATCAATGACGTCTTTCCATTTGTAACCCATTCTGCTTGTTTTTTTCACTTTTGTCAAAATATCTGGCGCCATATTCAAAAAGAAGGGCTATCTACAAAGTATATGGAAGACCCGGAATTTAATTTGATTTGTTGGCATTTACCTGCTCTTTCTTTTCTTCCAGTAAATAAAGTACGTATTAAAAAAAATTACATAACACTTACTTTTTTTAATTTTATTATTTATTTTATTACTATCTAATATTTTAGAGTCATGCAATGTTAATAATATTATTCGTGGGAACTTGCAATTTTTTTAATATATCAATATATTTTTTAGGTAATCGAAGGTAGGGAAATTGTGAAATTATTATTTAGTGATAACGAAAGAGAACAATCACTTTTAGAATACTTCGAAAATACTTACATTTATGGTAAACCAGCTATGAGACTACGTGGACGTATTAAACCTCACCGACACCCTCCCTTATTTCCAATTGACATGTGGTCAGTAGCTTCAAGAATTGATGCAAACTTGCCAAGAACAACAAATATTTCTGAATCATGGCACGGTCGACTTAATAGGTATAGGAACAATATATCAATAACCATAACATAATTGTTACAACTAATTAAACTATTAAAAAATGTTTATAGATTAGTATCAAAACAACCAGAAGTTTACAAATTGATGAGAAAGTTCCAAAATATTCAGAATGAAACTGAAAATTCTATAGAGCAAATCATTCAAGGCCGAACAAGTAAAAAAAGAAAAACATGCAACGAAGAACGGGAACAAATAATTAAAAAATTAGTTCTAAGACTAAAAAATTTAGACATAAGTATTATTGAGTTTCTAAGAGGAATATCGTATAATTTAAGTTTTTAGTTTTTTTTTTATTTAGCATTTACATTTATTAACGACTAATTTATTTTACGACTTATTGGTACCTATTTTTAAATTAAATTTTTTACGCAGAAAATCGAATCAACGAATAATAAATATTTTGGTAAAATTCGTGTTTAATTTATCGATAATTTCGAACATATAATCTTTCGAACAGACAATTTTTCGTACACTTAACGTTCGAACATACAGCATTCGAACACATTACTTTCGAACATAAGACCCCTTACCGTATATACATATTATATAACATTTTATCAGTTATGTTTTTTCTATGGTATTTGGCAGTAATTTTAACGATGTTTGCCTCAGGATATTTTTTTATAATACCATAGATGATCTGTATGGTATTACAACTTTTAGTTATCAATTAAGTTATTTCTTAATAAGTACTTAATTATCATTAAATGTTTATTTTGTGTTCCCTTCTTTATTAATAATATACTCGTATATATGTTGCGGTCAATGATGAAAATTGAATATTTACGTTATTAACCGGCCATTAACGTTAGAAGCCAATTCGCTAGGTTATTTTCGTTAACTACCGGGCAATAACGTCCGTATCCAAGATAATAGGTTATTGTTGTAAATCACAAAATAAAATAAAACAATTTTACCTCAATGACGGAATCTTAACGTTATTAACCATTGACTGTTGGTCAATTACGTAAATAAAATTAATTACAGACTACACTTATTAATAATTGTCTTATTATTTTTTTATTATTAATAATATATTATATTTATTATTTATTATTTATTTTCGCAAGGCATGCTGTTGTGACATTTTGAGTTACACAATATTCCTGCTGATTGACAAATGCATTTGTTTGTTCTGCACTTTAGTTTGCAATTGCACCTTCTGCATGTAACCTTGTGATCCAGTGACACTATCAAATCTGCAGCTTCTCTCAGCGTAATTTCTTTTTTGGTATTTACAGATTCCAAATCAACGAAACTTTCTTTGCATGGATCAATCTGCGATCGAGTATACATATGTTCAATAATGCCGTTTTCCGTATGCCGTACTTAATTAAAGAGCATTAATGAATACAAATAAATGTATCTAAATAATATAACTTATAAGTACCTACCTAATTTACATAAATCATCTTCAACCTGGGTCACTCGTGTAACTATCGCTGATTATCGATGATATTTTTATAAATAATACATACTAACGTAGTACCTAACGTGTTTAGTATGTAGATAGATAACTGACAGTTAACAGTGACCCGTATGTTATAAATGTATAATTTACAACAACGTCCAACAGGAGTTGGGAATTGACGCAAATGATAAAAAAATACCCGTGTTTACTACATTAACCATTATGTATCGCCATTTACGTAAATTACCGGCCATTTACGTAAATTCGTATGGTACAAGATAATTTTCGACATTGGCCGGGCTTTAACGTAAATATCAAAATTGTCGTCATTGACCGTAACATATACATACCCAAACAAAACAAATAATATTTTCTTTGCAACATAATTTTAAAATTTTAAACACAGAATGTTAGATTTTAATTTATATGTGTTTTTTTTTTTAAACTTAAAAATATCCGTAATCAGTAAATTTACTTACGTTTATATTGATGCTCCATTCCATATACTTTCGTAAAAATACCTTAAAATAAAAATATGTAATGGATACAATAAATCAGTTCAGCGGTAGCTGACTCTCGATACTTGTGTAATTTCTATATAGTGCATATGTGATAAAATATTATACGTGTGCATCGACTTCCATTTATCGTATCGTATTTTATCTAGGTAAACTCTACTTACATTAAGTGCGTAGGTTATGTAATAGGTTATGTATTATCTATTACTGTGGGAGCCGGGAGTGTTCGACGGTATCACACGATCCCGACGTTCTAAGTTATGGGCAGATTTTCGTATTTGTCCCGTAATTACCTATTCATAAATGTATAATAACTAAATAGGAAAACTTGGTAAATGAACTCCTTGCGTTCATTACAATTCAATACACTAGATAGGTTCTTTATAATAATAATGTGGTTTAATATACAACTGATTTGCATATACACAAAAAAATAATTGATAGGTATGCCTGGTGTACAACAGATTAGAAATTGACAATAAATTATAACAAGACTATAGTATGGGCTGATGTACAACAGTTTATGAATCACAATAAAATGTATTATAAACTTGCCGTTAAATAAATTGTAATAATATGGCTAAATTACAGTTTTGTAATAACAATAAAAATAATAATTTTGGTACTCACAGATGTTTTTGTGGAGTGTAGACTGGCCAGTGGACTTCCTGTTACAATAATATTTCACACAACAGTACCAAATACATAAACGATTTAAATAATAATTAAAATATAAATCACACAGAATATTAAATGACAATTCGACTATTTGAGCCGCTATATTACACTGCTCGCAATAATGCAGAGGGTACTATTTATCAAAAATGCACATAGCTAGTTACATAACAATAAAGGTATACAATATGATATGTGATATTTTATACATCAATACATAATACGCCAATTTTCTTAGCTCGCTATCAGGCAGAGCACACTATTCGTTGTTTTGCAAGTTATACAATTTAAAGCTTTTATTTTTCCGCACAGACAATAATAATATATTGCTCGTTATAACGCAGAGCACACGATTTAAACAAAAACGAAATTAATATGACTTGGCTGTTTATAAAAAGACGCACAGTAAGAAGTGACGCGTATGTTGAGACATTTTTGTACGTACTGACTATTTGATGTATGTGCGTGTGTGTGAGAAACGTTATTCATTATCATATCATATGTTATGTAATATACCACGCGCATTTGGTTTATGTCATTGCGATAGTAGGTACGCCGTGCCTTATCTGATACCTATTACTGGCTATTATAATAATATCTTTGTTGACGATATGCGGAGTATAGGCGTCAACATCCTCCCCCGGTTGAAAATTATTGGTTTTCAACAGTCATGTCATCTTCTTGTATAGAAAGGCGACAGTTTGACAGTAGGCCTACGCATTTCTGTCCCATTTGCTGTTCGCCCCGTAGTGACTCGTATGACCTTGTCCTTCCCTGGGTGTAGATCGGTTATTCTCCCTAGCTTCCATCTTGTGGGATGTTTGTTTTCTCCCTTCACTATCACTACATCATCGATTTCCAAAGGTCTAATATTTGTAACCCATTTCCCATGAACCTGACACTGAGGCAGGTATTCCTTTTCCCATCGTTTCCAAAAACTCTGCATGAGATACTGCACATATTTCCACCGGCGTAATCCATTTGGAGATCTCTCAGCATATCTACTTCCTGTGCTAGGAATAACGGTCCACCGATTAAAAAATGTGCTGGTGTTAGCACTTCCAAGTCCGATGGATTGCTACTGAGTGGTGTTATCGGTCTTGAATTTATTCATGCCTCCACTTGACATAATAGGGTATTAAGTTCTCCCAAGGTGAGACGTGTTTCCTTCATCATACGTGTTAAATTAAATTTTGTAATCTTAACAGCGCTTTCCCACAGCCCTCCGAAGTATGGAGCAGCTGGTGGATTAAATTTCCACTCAATTCGCTATTTTTTTATCGATACTCGTCATAAAGCTTGTGAGTTCTTTCTGTGCACCAACAAAATTAGTGTCATTATCGCTGTATATTTTGCTACACTTTCCTCTGCGCGCCATGAAGCGGCCTAAACAAGCCACGAAGACACTGCTTGAGAGGTCCTCTACCACTTCCAAGTGGATTGCTCTAGTTGAGAAGCAAGCAAAGACCGCTATCCACGCCTTTGACCCAGTAACGCTACGAACTCCACTCTTTATTATTATTGGTCCTGCAAAATCTACTCCACACACGGAAAATAGACAGTGGCGTTGAACACGATCCTTGGGTAGCGGTGCCATTAGTGGTTGTAAAAAGGTTGGTTTGGCCTTGATACATTGAACACACCGTGTTGTGACTGATCTTGCCAAGATTCGTCCCTTTAACGGCCAGTAAATTCGTCTTACTTCCGCTAGTAATGATTGTGGGCCGCAATGCAAGAGCATTCGATGTCGATCTTCGAATATTAAACGTGTCACTCTGTTGTTGGCTGGGATCACTATTTTGTGTTTTTGATCCTCAGTGAAGTTGGAGTTTTCCAAACGACCACCGACTCTGATCAATCCATCCTTCATAAATGGGGATAGGTTGCGGATTTTGCTTCCACGACGTAATTCTTTATTAGTATTGATCCTAACGATCTCTTCAGGAAATGCTTCTTCTTAAACTCGTTTTATTATTGATAAAGATGCGTTCTTCAATTCTAGGACAAAAAGAAATTTGGAGCTGTCTATGACCTTAGATTTCTTGTACTTTATGAAACATAAGATCCAGGCAACGGACCTTACTAAGGTGTTCCAGTTGGAATGGGCGTTAAACAAGTTGTTGATAGTGTCACAAGCAACTAATGAAATTTTTAACTGTCGTTGCTATAGTATTTGATCGTCTTCAATTAATTGGGCAGTGGGGTGAGACCATTTTTCTTCTTCGGTTGACATCCATTTAAGTCCTTGCCACCATTCCTCGGCTACTATTAACTCTGATGAGGTTATTCCTCGTGATATTATGTTCGCTGGGTTTCTATCTGTACGTACGTGATGCCATTGTGATATATCTGTTAATTCCAGGATTTGACAAACACGATTTAGCACGAAGGTTCTTAGGCGCACTCCTTGACTGTTTAGCCAACTCAGCACTATTATAGAATCGGTCCATAAGCGAAAAGTGTGAACACTGACCATCCAAGATTCAGCTGCCTTATTTACTAGCTCGGCCAGCAGCAGTGCACCGTTCAATTCCAGTCTTGGAATTGTAGCTCCTTTCAACGGTACCACCCGAGTTTTAGCACACAGTAGCCTTGAGTGCCATTTCCATTTTCATCTCTTGAGCGGACATATACGCAGGCGCCATATGCTTGTTCTGACGCATCGCAGAAACTGTGCATCTCAACTTCAACGCTAGTCACTGGGATTACCTTTCTTGGTATGACACTTCAGTTATTTAAGGGTTTGGTAAAAGCCAATCCATTTATTTTGCATCTCATCTGATAGTTGGGTATCCCAGCCCATCTTTGTTGCCCACATCTGCTGGAGAAATATTTTACCTTTTACAAGCACTGGTGCTAATAGGCCAAGCGGATCAAAAATCCTGTTTAAATCTGAAAGTATCATTATCTTGGTTAGCCTCTTCTTCCTTGTAATGGTCGATATAGTGAAGAAGAATTGGTCTGCTAATGGTTTCCATTCTAGTCCTAATGATTTCACTGTGTCTTGATCTCCAATTTTTAATGAGAATAAGGGGTCGTGCTCACGTGTTCCTATTAGATTCATAATGGACAGAGAATTTGAGCACCAATTCCTTAATGGTAATTTCCCAGAGTCCATGATGGAGTTGATTTCTTTTTGAAGTTTGGCGCACTCTTCTATGGTGTCTGCACTGGTCATCAAATCGTCCATATAAAAATCATGGAGGATTGCACGAGCTGCTTGGGGAAAATTGAGTCGCTCTTCTTCCGCTAACGATACTAAGCACTGCGTGGCTAGAAACGACGCTGGTGTTGTCCCGTAAGTAACTGAAGTTAATTGGTATGTACGTAATTGCTCATTTGGATCTGATCTCCAAACTATTCGCTGTAAATTCCAATCTCCCTTCGCTACCTGTATCTGCCGAAACATTTTTTTCACGTCAGACGTTATCACATATTGAAATTTCCTGAACCTGGCTAAGATTCCAAAAACATCTTCTTGGACTGTAGGTCCACATTTCAATACATCATTTAGAGATAACCCGGAAGAACTTTTTGCGGAAGCATCAAATACGACACGAACCTTTGTGGTCAAACTGGAAGCCTTAATTACTGCATGATGTGGAAGATAGAACGACGGTTCAGGTATGATCGTTTCTCCAGTTACTTCTCTTGCGTGACCCAGCTTAATATAATCGTTCATGAATGGAGTGTATTCTGTTTTCAATTTGTCATCACCTTGCAATCTTCGTTCTATACTTAGAAACCGGGAAGTCGCCTTAGTCCGTGACGCTCCAAGATTCTTCACTATTGATTTTTTGGGTAAGAACACGATAAATCGACCGTCCATATCCCTACTTGTTGTCTGTCTGAAGTGTTCTGCAATCTCTTCCTCTTCTAAACTTCTTTGGTTAGCTTTCGACAGACGCCCGTAATTGGAACCTTCATCATTTTCTTCAGATTGCCATTCTTCCTCTAGACCTTTACCGACTGAGTTAATACCCAGTAAACAAGTGGGACCTAATTCTCCCGTCACGATCCAACCAAATTAACTGTTCTGCAGATACAAGGGTCGTTTGTCAATTATTCTTCGTTCAGCGCATAGTATATTGAAAAAGGCACCTCCACCTATTAACAAATCAGCGCTTCTTCGTTTATGGAACTCCGGGTCACCAAGTGTTGTTAACACGTTGGCTGGAAGCTTCCAGCCCTCCTTTGGCTCGACACAAGCCGCTAGGTCAGTGACCATGTTTGATAGTACATAGCACAAGAGATCTACTTGATAGTCACTTGTTCTGGACTGAACCTTTATATCTAGACACGATGATGCGTGATTCTGGTTCGCTCCAATCCCACTTATTGATACAGAGGCATTTTTTCTAGGCAACTGCAACAGATTGACTAATTTCTTAGAAATGAAATTGATTTGTGATCCACTGTCTAAGATGACTCGACATTTGCGTTTGTTCCAAAAATTTCTGTTACAAGAACAATAGCTGTGGCAAGGAAAACATGCGCATTTTCATGTTGTGCTGCACAAGAGACCTTGAGTGGTTCTTCCGGAGATTTGGAGCCAGTGCCAGGCTGTGATACTTCTTCGTTATTTCGTTCAAGCTTCTCTTATTACTCGAGATGAATAATAGTATTATGTCTACGTCGGCTTTTTTGATACACAAATCTCGACTTACAAGCATCAATTCTGTGATATGGTGATAAACAGTTATAACATAATCTTTTCTCCCGTACGAAACTTAGTCTCTCGCTGGGTGGAATTTCTTTGAATTTACTGCACATGTACAGTCGATGTATACCGGTGCAATAAACACACTTGTCCTCGGTAGATGATTTTGACGCCACTAATGATTTCTTTGTCCCACTGATTGTATTGACCTTCCTTGAGTTAGTTGATTACTGAAGCACGCTCAACTTACCAGTATTAGTTGACAGAACTTCAGAATTCTCAATGGCAACACATCTGGTCCTCAGAAATCTTTCAAGATCCTCATACTTAGGTAGTGAGGTGTGTTGTTGACTCAGCTGCCATGAATGATTTGTGATGCTGTCTAGACGACTGACAATGATGGTTACCAACCACGCATCCCAATGATCTGTTGGTTGCTCCAATGCCTTTAGTGCTGCAAGGTGGGTACCTACATGTGTGTGCAATGCTTGTAACTCAGCTGAGGACGGATTTTCCACCCGAGGTGCCTCCAGCAGTGACCTGATGTGTGATTGGATAACCAAACCCTTATTGTTGTATCTTTGCTTTAGAAGTTGAAAAACTACTTCATAATTTGCGTCTATCATCGGTACTGATTTTGTGAGATCCAAAGCTGTACCAGAAAGGCCTGCACGCAGATAATAAAATTTCTGGACTAAAGGGTAACCGGTGTCTTCGTACATCATTGACCGAAAACAGTCGTAATATGACTCCCAATTTTATATGTTTCCGTAAAACTCAGGAATGGTAATCGGCGGAAGTCGTGCTCTATTTGATGTCCATGGAGCAGTGTTGCTAGAGCTAATATTTGAAATGTTGGAACTATTTGTTTTTTCTGCGTTTATTATTTCCTGTATTTTGGATCGTATTTCATAGTATTCCCTTTCAAATGTTTCCCGTTCGTTTTCTTCTGTCTCCATTTCATTAGATAACAACTCAATTTGGCTTTGAACGTCGTCATACCTTTAATTGATTTGTAGAAGCTCATCTTGACGGAAATCCAGAAGCGATGTTGGCTGATCCTTTGTTTCAAAACTATTTACGAAGTTCCTCATTCTGGTAAAGGATCTTTTGATCACTCCTCGTCTCTTCTTCAACCCCGCGAGATCTTTGTGTGTATCTTCGAAAGTCATTGTGGATTTATATACTCTTATCTCAGCTGGAATAACCTAACAGTACATTTTATTTACTATTGAACCTGCCTAAGAATATGTATTATATTATCTTTATTTTTTACATATACGGTATATTATACTATATTCCTATTTTTGGCACAAGAACGAGCTAGGCTAACTCAAGATAGGTAATTAAAACGAGTGAATACAAATATCTATCACGTCGAGGTCACCAAAAAATGTAGGAGCCGGGAGTGTTCGACGGTATCACACGATCCCGACTGTCTAAGTTATGGGCAGATTTTCGGGGATATCCCGAGTGCGTCCCGTTTTTAATTTTTACCTTTTTCATAGCCCGAGTGCGTCCGCCGTCTTATCGACAAATTATATTACAGTGCCCGAGTGCGTCCTCGGTCCACAGCTGCTATAGGTATCTATTTAAGATATTTTAACACTGGAAACGGTGGGAAATTGATTTTAATTAATCTATTTGGCTTACCATTATTAAATCAAGTAGATTTAGAAAACTATATTATTGAAGATTTTATATTTATAATGCCAAAACATCAAAAACTTAACGAATTTATGGATAATATAATAGAAAATTATACAGATTCTGGAGCAAAATTTCCTATTTCCATGTGGGCCAAAATGAATAGTAGTTCTAAAAGGACAACAAATGCTTGTTAAAGCATTCATTCCAAGTACAACTCGTTATTTTATACACATTTTTGGAAATATTAAAAAAAATTCAAATCGATACTAAAATAGCAATCCGAACGGCCACACAAACAACAAAAAAAACCAAAACAAAGTACGTGCAAGAAAATATTATACATCGAAGACAATATAAAACAATTTAATAATAATGAAATAACAAGATTCGATTTTTTCAAAAGAATAGCATTTAAACACCAGCTTATATAAATATATAATAATAACAAAAAACGTTTTAATAAATTGTACGCTAACCTAAATTTAACCGTGTAAGCTAGTTTTAATAATTATAATAAAAATAATATTTTTGGGGTGTAAGGCAGTTCACCTCCTCGTGGT